AAATTCTCCCAAGAAGATGCTGACGAGCTCCCCTCGCAGATGTGGCGTGAATGCGTACAGCTTAGTTAAGCCTCTCCGTGCAGGGGGTAGCACTCAATCATTTCATAACGTTGGCACTCAAACAACCCTACATGCTGGACCAGATGACGCCCTCACCTACAGGAGTTTATGCAAGTCTTTCATCACAGGTCAGTATTTTAGGTCTTACCGCCGTGAATTGTGGCACCAACGCAAACAAATTCAACGGAAGCTCAGGAGCCATTCACAAGGACCACCAGCGCGGTACAAAAACGGTAGCGATAGCATTGGAACGAGGTGGACAAGAGATAATCGAAAGGCACTCTTCAAGGTTCCTTCTGACATCTTCACGTCAGATAAGATAAATAGCTATTCATCAATGCAGGATTTTAAAGCTGCCTCCGAGATGACAGACAAATCGAATACACTTGGGTTCGTCTTTCTTACCTCAAATGCGAAAGATAGTCGTAAGTTAAGGACCTCGGAGGAAGAACGCATCACCTTGTCTTCCCTTTCATTGCCAATGAATGTGGAAAGGCACGAAGCTGATCTTCTTCAAGTTGAATCTGATAGTGAAGGACGGAACATAAGGTCACCTGCAAATCCAGTCCTCAAGTCTCGTCTCTCCGTGCTCTCTTCTCTAGTCAGCTCCTCAAACGACCTCATGGTTCGACTAAGTTATTATTCAAATGAAGACATTCACGAGGCTGACTCTCCAGTGCAACTGCGAAGTCTTAGCGGCAGTGGCCTTGATGACGAAGACGTTTCTAACGTCACAGTACCCATTAGTCTTTCAATCATGATAATGACAACGTACATCCTCATTGGAGCAATTGTATTCTGCATTTGGGAAGACCCAAACTACCTGAAATGGTCATACTTCTGTTTTGTAACTCTTTCGACAATCGGATTCGGTGATATTGTTCCAGGTATGTCTCACTTAACCCATCTTTGTTAAATATCGTAAAATATGAATCATTTATGCCAGAACTTTATGGTAAACTGCTTGTTTGGAAACACAATTTACGAATTTAGCCTTTCACAAAGTACTGTCGTGTCTTACAAATGCATAACTTTGCGATTTGAAGCGTAAAAAGCTGGTTGGCTATCGAAATGAACAGCGAAATGGGCAGCAAACTGTCCAGGTAAGCAAAAAGTGGCCGTCAATTCGACTTAGCAGTTTTGTTCACGGTTCACTGGCCACCTATTAGTGGCAGTGATACGAGCTCCAGTTTTGGTAATTTCGCATTGTTTCTTCAATTTCCAGTGAATTGATCCCTCCAAATGCGACTTTCTGAATGACTGCACGACATGATGGGGCAGCTTCTACATCAAACTGTGAC